TATCCCACTTTGAAGATCTGTTTAGTCTCATGTTACTTCACAGTGTTGTTTGCCAGCAAATGCTTCCAGTGGGAAGTGAGTTGAATATGATCCAGATTTGAAGACTTCATTGTCCTTGTGATTATGTTTTTTCTGTCTTTCCTTGCACTCTGGCCTCTTCTCTCAGGTGGAATGTGAACAGCAGAGAGCGATAAGGTGAAGTTGTCTCCCCAACCCTGCGTGAGGTGACAGAGGCCTGTAGAGGGAGCTTTATTCTGCATCATGGTGATCATATGTGATATACAGTATACCCCCTCAAATATCTGCTTGAAGAAAATACCTTTGTCACATCTGCTCCAGGGCCTATGTGACATTGCATATTTAGAGATAGAGTCAACTACTCAATTCTGTATATTTAATCATCATTAGCCACAAATGCAACTAGAATGGTTCCTTATGAAACCACTTATAAATTCACTCGATCCGAAATGTTTTATTTGCATTTGCACCACATTTTTTCCCTTAAACATTACTGATCCCTTTTCATCAAGATGCATGAATTATTCTCAGAGAAATGAATGAAAAAGCCCTTATCTCAGAATGTTAAAGAACATTTTAAAAAGAATAAAATCCGAGATCTGCCCACCAATCAGGATCCACACACTCATCATCTGAGGTGATAATGCAACGATACGCCACATAATGGTGGAATCCAAAAATGAAGAAACACACATAAAAACAAGTTTACAAAATACACATATACTCACATGTTTGCGTTTTCTGGGAAATTTTATTGGGAAATCAAGCAGCCATGAATTCAATTCATTCCTTGTCATTGCTGAGCTCTTAAACAGAGAAGCAACCTCAGTCACCAGTTTTCTGAAATGATATGATTCAACATGACTCGTCTTAAAGGAGAAGTGTCCTGTCAACACACATCCAAGCTGCTGACCTTGTTGCAACATTTGCAGAGTCACCAGCATAGTGAGATTAATCACAACCACTTTGTCTGATTTGTTGTTGATCTGCTGAAAAAAAATCTCAGCTATTTGAGACAGACCCTTTTTTCCACTGCCTCATTCACCAAAAACTTGAAAATCAGCGTCAGCAAACTATTAGCTCATCGTGTACGTCTGTGTATCCAGGGTGCCCTGTGTTCATTGAGTACCACTCATAGTTCCTTCTTTGAGTGGTTTGTGATTATTTTTGTTTTTATAAAGTTTTTTTAATTATATTTTTAATCTCAAAATTCATCAAATAAATGAATCTACAAACGAGCCAGCATTTCTATCAGTGATGTGAGTCTTGCCACGAAGAACAACATCATCAGTGTGTGGAGGCAAAGAAAGGTCGAAAGAATTTGAATTAAAATGAGACTTAATGTCAAAAAATAAAACATCATGTAGAATTACTTAAAGGTTCAGTGTGTAGGATTTTGGGATATCTATTGTTGAAGTTTCATGTTGCAGCTGAACACCCCTCACCTCACCCTCTCCTTCCAAACATGTAAAAGAAACTGTGGTAGCTTCAGTTGTTATAAAATATCCAAAGGTGTTTAGTTTGTCCAGTCTATACTAATGTGGTGGCCTCCATAGAGAGGGTCCCCTCGATGTAAATATAAAATATTTTAATGTAAAGGGTCTTTTCTGTGGTAAAGAAACTACAATTCATAAAATTTAGATGAAACAAACTAGTGAAAACATAATGAGGATTATTCTACATTAAATTTCTGCCAATAGATCCCTTTCACCTAAATCTTACACACTGGACCTTTAACCTAAATTCAGGTCAAGTTTTCTGTTGAAGTTTTAAATTCAAGTTTTTTTAAATTCAAGTGGCCACAATTCAAAAACTATATTTGCATATATTTTCTCTTTGCATTACAATATCTAAAATGCTAAAAGATTTTTAAAAGTCAAGTAAAAAAATCAAGTTGCTCATTTACAGATATAATTCATTCTTCTAGGGTCACTGGAATTGATCAGAGCTCAGAGTGAACAGGTTTAAAGTTCTGTCAGTGATGTGATTCCAGAGAGAGGTGCAGATGAGCCACTAGAATTTGTATCTGTATATGTTAATCAAACAAATGGGAAGTAAGAAAGACTCTAAATCATTTTCTATCTTAAAGACAATTGTCACATTTATGCTTTACATTTATTTGGGATTTTAACTGAATTGTTCAGTTGTGTTAAAATACGTTTTTCAATGGCTTTTCAATGAGAATTATGCTTATCACTGGACTTTCTTTTAGTTCTTTACTTTCACGTAACTTTCATTTTACCTCGATGTGACCCATTTCTCCTTTATGCATTTTTTAATGATCAAAAGCATTTAAACAAGAACAGCAGGACAGACACATGGCGGCCACACTTTCCTTTTAGCTTCATGACCAGTTTGCTCACTGAGAAATATTTTAACCTTGTGAAATTGTTAAGATTTGATTTTACATTGACAATCATTCAACGTTTCTTTAAAATAGTTTACTTAAAAAGGCAAATAACATCATTTTGAAATGAAACACTTTTACATCTATTTGTCTTCTAATGAGCACAAGTTGTTCTGTTCTGCTGTCATCTCCAGAACAGCCCTGCTCTGTCACTCTGTGGTTTTGGTTAAACATATTCAGCATTTTTGTATTACTGACATTGCTGCTCCTGATATCGCACACAAACATCTTTGCATTCTGTCGCATGCAAACCATTGTTAAGTACCTTCCTCCCACTGTGAGAGTGACTGTCCTCAGACGGAATGTGTGTCACAAATCTGGAGGCCATTTCAGCAGCACAGAGTCTGTTGTATCTCCAAATGACACATGTTAGATGACTTCCATGCAGCTTGGAGTGGTGTAAATTGTGCTGTGCAGTTGGAAAAGGAATAAACCCCAGGGGCAGTGGAACGACTCTGTGGCAGCAACTGGAGCAAACAGGAATTAAAACATGGTTTCGAGACATGCAGACTTGAACATGAGATAAATTGGGTGGATTTAAATATTGGACTTTCTTCCCTTTCTCATGATGGCAAAACTTATTTTTTTAAAAGCCAGAAGCTTCTCACCAGCCTAGTTCTGGATATCTGGAATTCTCAGATGGAATGAGAGCAGGCTCACAAAATCCATATCCGCTGAAAGGCTATTGTATGACAGCTGGAAAAACAGCACTGAACACCAGTGCTCCTCCAGTGCGCTGACACAACTTCCGACTGTAAGACAGATGGAAAAACTCACCAGCTGTAAAACATTGACATACAGTATAGCACACATGGCAACAGCCAAGGTCACATTTGAGCCCTTTCAACAAACATGTGCAGTAGCTTTAAACTCCACTGTTTCTCCAACCTTTAGTTTAGTAAAACAAGAGCTCCAAGGCTCTGAAAAATGATTGTACCACATTCCCTAATTTCATCTGACTCTAGTTTTTATTAATCCATCAGGATCTCAAACTTAAACTTTTGTCACATGTTATATCAAGTGCTATAAAATAAATACATGATTATTATTATCACAACACACAGAAAAACACTCGCCCCCATAAAATGAGGAACTCTCACAGAGAGTGTCAGAGTAACTTCCCCACCCAAACAATATGATATATTTTTTATGTATGATATTAATTTTGATTAGTTCATTTCTGTCTGCTGTGCAAAGATAAGTAGAAAATCTCCTGTGGATTATGAGTGAGAATATTCTGCTAATTCTTAATGTAAAATGAATCGAAAAGGATAAAATGCACGGACAGAAAGCTAAAAACAAGACATTTTCTACACTCATAATAATCAGATGTTTTAGAGATAAAACAAGGACGACATGCTCAGAAGTTCCTGATATTTCAGAGCTAGAGCAGCATATTTTGAAATGCAAAGAAAATACCAGTTTTATATTTTTCAGAAAATTTAGATCAGATGAAGAGGCTACCGTAGTTTTTTTGTGAAGTAAAACATGAGCAGGCAGACACATGAGGAGACTCGCTTCCTGCTGCGCTTTCAGAGAACCTCTCAGTGCATCGAACCACAGACGATATAATGGAGTCAAAGTTAATTAACTACAATGACCCCGAAAAGTCTCACGGGACAAAGTCTTATCTCGCCGAGCGCCTGGTCGTGCTTTGTTTTCTGTTCACTGTATCTCAGCAGTGTCACGCATAGAGACGCTGGCCTCCTGCTTCCTTTGCCTCTTCTGCCTCCAGAGCAAGATGGCCAACAAGAGGAGCAGCAGGAAGCCCAGAGCTCCTCCGATGAGTCCTGCTTTCAGGGCCAGACTGCTGTCTCTGGGGTGGTACATCATGCATGAGCCTTGACTGGTTCCGCTATTGTTCTCTGCAACCACACAGACCTCTGCAATGTTTTCTATAATGCCCACCACCCCACTCCTTTTGTCCTTCCCAAAGTTCTGCCGCTCTTGGTCCCCTACTGTCACCAGATAACTTGTGACATAGGAATAAGGTGCACACCACTGAATCACAACATCCGACCCATTCCAGGACACCGATTTCAAGGTGGGAGCTTCTGGAGCCTGGTCATGTAAAGTTAACCCTGGACACAAGCAGCCGGTGGAGTCTGCGAGCACAGCACAGGAGATCTGACCCTCGAGACAGGGGTCGTAGTTGCATCGTTGAGAATTCCCTCTGGCTGGAGGAACTCTTCTGGAGTCGGTGGAGGTCACCTCTTCCTCAAGTCGGTCGTAATCTGCTGTGGAGGCCTCAGTCAAAAACCCATGTGGCTTCAGAGGTCCCATGGGATTCGTGCTTGTGACTTGTGATGCCGTTGGCAGGAGAGAGCAACCACTGATGAAAAACAGGCAGACGATCACCGGGGGAAAAGGGAGGTCCCTGCTGGCAGCCAACATGCTGTCTGGAGATCGTAAAAAGTCAAAGTCAGTGTGTTGGAATATCAGATTTTTTTTACTAGGAATGAAAAGTACAATGCCCTTGGGTTTCCAGATATGTGTACATTCAGATTTAGAGTCTTGTTGACTTGACTAAAACAATAATTGTTCCCTGGTGTTGAGACCTTTAGAGAATATACGACTGCAGATGGAGCGACTTGATGACTGAAACGGCTGGCCTCAATACGAGCCTGGTTTCAGTTGGTAATCTAAAAAAATCTCCCTCACTTTTGAATTGTTGAAATGAGGGAGGCTCTCGAGTTAACTAATGAGAAAAATATGAAAACCTCATTAGCAGCATTTCTGCTTTTTCTCATTACTCGAAACATATTTGTCAATGATTTATAGTCTTTTCTCCTCACAGGGCTGCTAGGAATAATCATTTGTTGATCTTTGGAGATACATCACACTAATTCAGCATTCCCGTCTGTGTTGCACAACAGGTCCAAATGACTACACACCCATACAGGCTGCCCGGTCAGCTGGATCAAGTTACAGAAATATGCGATTTCCACAGTAGATTCCACATGAATGTACCTGACATGTGCTCTCTCACACAGAGAGATAACAATGAAGTCCATTCAAAGGGAAGAACATGTGTGTGTGTTTAACTGCATGAAAAACCGAGCAGGAGCCTCCACTGAATACTCAGTTTTATGGCACAGCAGAAAGTCTATGTGCGTGAGTCGAGTATGAAAAGTTAGGATCTTACCTGTTGCTTGCAAAATCTGCGTTTGTAATCTCAATGAAAAATCTGAAGCAGCTTCTTCTCCTCGTCTTCCCTCCACTTGCTCCCTACTCTTGCTCTCTCCTCCTTTATATATTTTCCTTCTCCCCAACAATCACCTCCTTCTTTCTGTCCTCCCACAGCCCCCCCCCCCCCCCCCCCCCCTTTCTGTTATTCCTTCCTGCACCAGCTCCACCTACCTCCTTGCTAAATAGTTCAGTAATGTGAGTGACGGACTGGGTGAGTGTGCTTGCTATTAGTGGTATCACTGCTATTAGTAAATTCACCGCCGTCTGATTTCTGGTGAGCTGAACCCTTTGTGAACTGTTCCTCCACAGTGGACATGCTTTTCAGACTGTGTATGACTTGTTAATGAGCTGTTCCTCTCCTTGTAGGGGAGAGGGGAGCTGAATAAAACAGGGAATATCTCTGTTCCGCAGCTTTGATTCACAGGAATTACTTATCCCTGACATAATAGGTGGCTACAGACAGTTTATCCCATCCTATCAGCCGCCTAACCCCTCACCTAAATATAATGTATGACTTGACTTGAATCATTGCAGCTAAACTGAAACATGTTGTACAGCTGCTTCTCTAAAGGCCGGATATGAACCTGACTGGACTTGTTCTGGGGATGAAAATAATTCAAGTAAGAAGTGAAACTAGAATGGCACTATCCCCTCCTAGGACCCAACAGTTTCACCACATTTACATTTTCTAGATCCAGGTTTTCACTTGGTTCTCACCCAAATTTCACACATTCTAAAATATCAGTCGTCTTAATATACATGATTGAAATGATTGAATGAAAACAAGTATATGATGGATTCACATCTGATCTGGATCACATCTGATCTGGATTCACATCTGATCTGGATCTGCACCTAAATCTAATGAGTTCTTCGTTGTGTCATGTCCCACACATCCATGAAATCTCATGGAAAGTTTTTTTGGTGTAGTGCTGCTCAGTTACAAATGAACAAAAATCCAACCTTCTTGTCAGAGGTAATAAGAAGAAGTGGTGATTAATTTGAGACACAAGTAACATCGCAATAAGTTAACTCCACACAGCATTCCCATGAGAGAGGGACTGAACAACATGTGTCGTTTGTGGGAGAGTTATGGCTTTAAAATCCATCGTCACGCTCACATTTCAAACCCGCTTTCAAGTTTAAGCGGCAGAAAAGTGACCAAAAGTAGCTCCCATTGCCAGAAGAATTCACCAAACTGATAAAGTTACCTCAGTCAAAGCAGTTTTAGCAGATGAGTCATATCCCTGGTGTACAGCAGGCAAAGATACAGTTATGAAACTAACAGGTAGAACATCACAGATATTCTTTTTTTTTCCACAAGAAGGAATGTAAATTATCTTAATTTGTTATATCAGTATGACATATTTATCAGTTGTTTATTTCTTTTTTGTCTCTCTTTCTTCCGTATTGGAAGGAGTGTGGGTGTGTAACTGTGAAGAAGATGCATATATTCACATCTAGGATGTGTGTGGGTATATGTTGGGTAATAGAGGTTGTGTTAAATATCTGAATCTAATGCTGAAAAACATGTATTCATATTTTGCCTTATTTCATGTTTATGGTAAAAGGAGGTTTCCAGGAAAGATTGTGACACATTTAACACCAGGACCAAAGATGGTGCAACGGATGACTTGAACCAGTAAGAAGCAGCGATGAAGTCACAAATACTTCATAAAAAATGACATATAGTCAAGCAGATGGTGACTGTTAGACAACTAACGCTTACATAAGCCCATTATACACTCCCCCTCTCCACCGTGGACCACGTCACTCTTTCCCCAACCACCACATCTGGCTGGCATGAGTCTGGTTTCCCCATCAAAGCCCAACTCCATAAGGAATAAAAAATTTTATATAAATGAAATGCAAATGAATACTACAAGGCCCTGCTGTGACGGATCCATGAATCTGCAGCACAAACAACATGAGGGTTTGATTTACAACATGTGCAGATAAGCTACTGTCATGGCAACTTAGTAGCTGTGGGCTGAATAATTCTGCCATAATTTATTTATGAAAAAAAATATTTTATCCAAATTTATGTTTGATTTAATCATTAGCATGTGATTTTTTCTCCGGGACCCCCTGAATGAGACAGAGGCAGATCAGCATCGACAAGCCATTGTTTATTTGAAAAAAAACAAATTTGTCATTAGAACTTCCAGCCAACCTAAACACAGGAATGAGGCACTGCAACAAACATTTTTCGAAATAACAAAGCCTGTTTTATTCAGAAGACAATATGATTCACTCCAGTGATTAATTTTAATTAAATCCAAATCCAATTGTAAGAACAAAACATATTTTTTATTTTAGAGGCTTATGCAATACATAATAA